GGTATCTAGTCTTTGAGGCCAGCAACTGAGACCTAGCCAGTCAAATGGGCAGGACTCAGGGTTCAATGCAACTAGGCTGAGCTCCAGTGCTGACTCCCCCACTTACTGGATGTGTGACTGACCTCAAGCAAGCCCCCAACCTCTCTGAGCCTCAATTTCCTCATCTGTGAAATGGGGGTTAGAGAAAGCTCTACTGTAGTCGCAGTGAGTTGAGCAGAAAGTGCTCATCTTAGAACTCTGCCTGGCGCTCAGAAGGGACTCATCACCAGAGCTCATTGTCAATATTGCTTTTTTTTCCCCTTTAATTTTATTGTTGAGAATATCCAAAATATACCCCAATTCCACAGTTTTTACATCTACAATTCAGTGATACTGATCACATTCTTGGAGTTGTGTATTCATTCTCACCCTATTTAACAGTCCCTCTTTAGAGCTGCTGTTCTGAATCTCATCTCTGTGTGTTGTTGTTGTTAAGTGCCATTGAATCATTTCCGACTTATAGTGACCATGTATACAGTTTCCAAGGCTTTAAATCTTTGCAGGAGCAAAAAGTCTCATCTTTCTCCTGAGGAATGGCTGACGGGCTTGAACCACGGACCTTGTGGTTCGCAGTCCAGTGTTTACTGTATGGAGCCACTGTGCTCTGGATTCCCATGTGTAGAGTTCTTAAAGGAGCACAATGTTCAAGGTAGCCTCCCGCCCCCTTATTTTTAACGAGTTAAACTACTGTTCAGTTTTAAGAAGACTTCAGGGAATATTGTTAGTTTAAGGTTTAAAGATGATCTCAGGGTGATAGTTTCAGGGGTTCATTCACCCTCCATGGCTCCTGAAAGCCACACATTCCTTACCGTCCTATTTCTGACTCTCCTTCCTCTGTTGTTCAAGGTGCCTAGAGACCAAATGTTGTGCCTTGCGTGGCTTCTTGCAAGCTTTTAAGACCAAGAAATGAACTGGGAGGTAAAACAGAAACTAAACATGTTATTAGACCAATTAATTGGGATGTTCCATGAAGCTATGACCCTAAACCTCCAAACTAAGGAACCCATCCCATGAGGTGCCTGGTTAACCTTGGAGCTGCTTTTTTTGTGTGTTATTGTAAATCTATCACATAACTTTTGCTAATGCCACTTTACAGGTGTACAACGTATTGGCAGCAATTACAATAATCAGTTCTGCAACCCTACTCTTGATCAATGTGATTTTTCCATCCCTGTTAACCCCTCTTCCCCTCTCCGTTCTATCCCTAGTAACAACCAACAAACCTTGGTTTTTATCATTTGCCTTTTCTTGTCTTTTGTTAGTGGTATGTACCATCAAGTTGGTTCTGATTCACAGAGACCCTGTATACAACAGAATGAAACAATGCCCAGGGTCCAGCAAGTCCTTCCAATTGTTGTATTTGGGGTCATGGTTGCAGCCACAGTGTGAATCCATCTCATTGAAGACCTTCTTCTTTCTCGCTGATCCTCTGCTTTATGAAGCATGATGTCCTTCTCCAGAAACTGGTCTCTCCTGAGAACAGGTCCAAAGTACGTGAGATGAAAGGTTTCCATCCTGGCTTCTAAGGGGCATTCTAGCTGTACTATTTCCAAGACAGATCTGTTCATTCTTTTGGCAGTCCATGGTATATTCAATATTTGATGCCAACACCATTATTCAAAGGCATCAATACGTTAGTGAGATCATACAATATTTGTCCTTTTGTGATTGGATTATTTTCTGTCATTGTTGATTTTAAGTCAGAGGAGAAAACCAGTACCTTGGCTGGCTCCAGAGCCTTAGGACCCTCACCCAGTGCCAAGTGAGGCTGTGCAAGAGAGGTAGGGGGTAGGTAGTAGAGATAATCCCTAAACCACTAGGATCTGACATCCATCCTGCTTCCTCCCAGTCCCCCACTGCTCTTCTCATCTGATATTCCACGAGGGAGTCCGCCTACTCCAGTGCCCACTCTTGATTCCTTTAATGTCTGAAGCTCTGAGGCCTCACTCCAGGGAGGAGTTGGAGGCCCCTAGGGTGCTAAGATCCCAGGCATATCCATCCTTTGAGGTTCGTGGGGCACAGATGTTGCCCTGTCATCGGGGGTCCAACATGATATGGGCATGCGCAATGCCCACCCCACTGCCTGTTCTCATATATGCAAAGGGTCCTTTGGGTGCTTAGGATGAAGTAGGGACAGGGTCTGACCCCAGTAGATGAAGCCCCTTAACAGCTTCATCCACCAATTGATACTGGAAATGAGGATGCAGGTCACAGAGACATCACAAGGTGGGAGATTAGTGAAAACAAGTCTGGTCAGTGTCCAGGAGCGAGACCTTAAAGGTGGGAAGAAGGGGGGTAGTTAATCTCTGTGTGTTGAGGTCGTGCAACATGACAAACCCAAATCAACCAAACCTGTGATTGGTTCCAACTCACAGTGACCCTGCAGGGCAAAGAAGAACTGCCCCAGAGGGTTTCCTAGGCTGTCAATCTTTATAAAAGCAGATAGCCACATCTTTCTCCAAAGAATGGCCAGTGGGTTCAAACCACTTCCCTTTTTGTTAGCAGCTAAGCGCTTAACCACTGTATCACCAGAGATCCTATAACACATCAAGCACCTAACAAACAATAATGGATTTCATTCTTGTGAGATCATAGCTTGGGTAGCCTGGGTTGCTTGGTGAGCAGCTCGCAGCAAGCTTACCTAGTGAGGATGCAACTATTATTACCTCCATTTTTCGCATAAAGAAAGCTGAATTGCCAAAGGTTACATGCTGAGTGGCAGACACAGACTTGAAGTCAAGCCTGCGTGGCTCAAAAGTTCAAGTTCTGAAAACTTCCAATCCAGGGTTCCTGGAGATTATGGAAACTATTCCCTGGAAGAATTCCAGGGCAGGAACATTAAGAGCAAATACATGGACCCCCCCTCTAAGACTGAAATTCAAAGGGAACACATGAGCAGGCGTATAAGCTTGCTGACAACCACGTTGGTCTACTGGTGAGTGGAAGAGGGGGAAAGGCAGCAATGAAGAAATGGGCTGAGTCTGATCACGTTCCATGGACTTCTGTTGACCTGGAGATGAGACAGAGAAGATGAAGGTCTGGTTGTCAGTTTCTCACTTCTCCTTCCCTCTGCCCCGAAATGGGACGCTGCTCTAGTCTGTATTGATTCCTCAGCTTGAAGGCTCCTTCCTCCTGTTCTCTGACACTTCCCCCTCATCTTCCTGAAACTCTGAAATGGTGGCTGCCTTAAAATGCCATTGGAATTGCCCATTCCAAGGTCACTGGATAGCCTGCTTATTACCAAGTTCAGGTTCCTTTTCTCCTTTCCCACCTCCCTTTTGACTTGATTTCCTTGGTCCCAGCCACTCCATGTTAGCCTGCTTTACTTTACTCCCCCAGAGCCTCTCCCCAGGTCTCTGTGCCCCTCGCTTTCAGCCAAGGGGTGACAAGGCTGAAGTGTGGAGACTGAGGGAACATGAATGCCACCGTGGGACAGTTGGTGACACTTAAGGATGACCGCAGTGTAGGTCCAGGGGGAAGATGGGAGGCAGTGATGGGGGCTGCTTTGGGCAGAGGGCATTAGAAGTTAGAAGGGGGCTGGCTGGTGCCATGGGCTGAGTGACCAAGCACTCCAGGGCAGCAGAGGGACAGTTTGAGTGAGGGTGGGGGACAACTTTTCATCACAGGCAAGGCAGTCAGCTACTGCCTGAGCCCTGAGACTGGGCAGTTACCCTGCCCTCTGTGGCTGAGTCAAGGGAGTGACCGGAGAATGGAAGAGGCAGATGAGGGCCCTTCATGCTTCCTCGGTTCCCCAGGGCTGGCTGGCAGGAGGGAGATGGAACCCACACATGCTCTCCAGGCCTGTTACCCAGTTATTCTCATCTCCTCCGGGTCCTCACACCAGCTTCGGTCACTGGGGGGCAGATTTGGACTGGACACACACACTCCAAGCCCCATCTCTGCTATTTATTATGAACAAGTTTATTTACATTCCAGAAGCAAGAGTCACTGTGAAATTTAACAAGAATGGCTTTAAAATGTCGAACATGAGCTCTAAGGAGGTTGTACATACTGTTGCTCTATTTCCAAAGTAACAACTCAGGTCCTCACCCACAGCAAGGCCCCCCCTTTGAGACACAAAATAGCACCAGGCTTCCGGTAGCTTCACCATTTAAAGAGACAAACACACATGGCATAGAAGGGCGAGAAGAATCACAGTACACATTGCAATAAAAAAAAAAAAGCGGCCAAACAATCGATAGCAAACCCATTTCTACCTCCAGATTAATGGCTTGGCTGAAACAAATGGGGGAGGTCCTTGGGGATGGTGGGAGATGCACAAATTGGCAGGTAAGATGCTGACCCTGGAACAGCACAAGGCTGCGGTGGGAGCCTGGGCTGAGGAGGCCCTCTGGCTCCATCAGTGCTGGGCCCCACTAAGTGCACGGGGGAGGGAGCGCAGTAAGTGCCTCAGCCGAGCCCCTCCTCTGCTTCATATGTTCCTGAGGATCTGTGTATGCGTGGGGGGCTGGGGGAGGGGGACACAAAAACAGAGGCCTTTAGAAAGCAGGAGAGCCAAGCCACATGATTGAGGGAAAGGAGACTGGGGGTGGGATGGGGCTCTCCAGGGTTCCTGCTGCTCTGAGGTTCCTCCCTATGGCCTGAGCAGGTGCACTGTGGGGTGCTGTCCGGTCAGGAGCATGGCCGAAGGGTGGGGAGGCAAGGAAAGCCATCAGCTCAATTCTTGTGGTCCTGCCAGTTCGGTGGGCTCCACCAAACCCAGCCTCGGCAACTGCTCATCTGGACCACAAAGGGCAGGTCCTGGGCTCCTTCTGGCTCTTTGGGGAAGCCCTAGGGCCCTACTTCTGGTCAGCCGCAGTGGGGAGTGTAACATCAAGTCAAGGTCTTACTTGTGTTTGTGTTCCTCAGACCAGAGCCTAGCTGGCTCAGTAGTTCTCAGTCAGTGATGGGCTGGTCCAGAAGAGAGCCAGGGGGCCTGACAGGCTGGGGTCCTACAACTGTCAGGAGTGGTTGTTTTCTCCACTGGTGGGCACAAGGTGGGAGACAGAGGTAGAGTGGCTCTCTGCAGGCCCTTCTGGGAGCTGCATGCAGGGAACTGAGGGCATGTGGGTAGACAGCAGGCCTGGAGCTGCCGAGCCACTCGGGGGCTGTTCAGCCTGCAAGGAGGCAGGGCCAGGGGCTACTTGCTCAGGACCCTCCAATACTGGGGGCCATCCTCCCCCTGGCCAGGGTGACTGTGCAGTCCAGGATTCTGCTGCCCTGTCTGTGGGCAGCCAGGGAGAGGGGTCTGGGAGGGAGAGGCAGGTCAGTGGGTGGCACAAGGGCAGGAGGGTAGCCAGGGCCCTGGCCTCATGGCCTGGCAGGGGAAGGGAGGGGAGATGCCCGACACAGGTGGTCTGGGTTCCACAGGGTCTGGAGGGTCTCAGAACCAAGGAAGGAATCTGTGGCCAGAAGTTCCCTGGCTTCTTCTCAGCATTGCCAAGGGGGGATGGAACCTTTCGCTTGTGGCCAACAAGTGCCAGGTCTGGGCCAGAGAAGAGGTCCGGAAAACCAGAGTCAGTCAGTAGGCACTGGCATGCAGGGCTCCTGCACTCCAGGGTCCCGGAAGAATCCTCAAAGGCATCAGTTGACCCCTGCTGCTCCAGGCCGCTTGCTACTGGTCTGGATAGCTCACCAGTCCCGGTTGGTACAGTTGGTGATGTCACGCTGTCTACAGTCCCATCCTGCTCTGGGGCTCCTGGGGTCAGGTGGTTGGTTTTCTTCACCCAGGGAGAAGCTGCCCTGGGGAAGGTGGGCTGATGGGGCTGCGAAGTCTCAGGGCAGAGAGGGTCACAATCTGAAGTCCAGGAGCTGGGCCTTCTGTGGAGAAAGAAAGATCCAGTGAATCACAGGGTCACCATAGCAGGCGGCGAGCTGGGGCCCTCCCAGGCCACGGCTGAAGCAGGAGGGCACACACAGGGCCATCCCTTCTGAGTTTCGCTGTGTGAGAAACAACTGGCCTTTTGGGGCCCTGAGAGAGGCCAGCCCTTTGGGTCTGACCCTGTAGCAGTTGCCAGTACTCTCTGGCTCTCTTGGTTCTGTGGCCTGTGGTTGGAGCGGCCAGAGGACAGTTAGAGGCAATTCCACTTAACAACTTCACCGATGAGGCCATGCCCTTTGGCAGCTGAGAAAGCAGCCCCGAGTCTGGTTGCACACAGCTGAGCTTGGGGAGAGAGACTGGTGGGGAGGTTGTGATGATAGGTGAAGTCACAGCCCCAGGTGGGAGAAGGCCTCACCCTTGGTGGGTAGAAGGGGGAAGCTGGGCTCACAGGCCCTGGAATTCCCACCAAAGGGAAAAGATCATGTTCTTTATCCAATGGGAGGATGTAGGACCCCACCTCCCACCTTCTAGAGGGCTAGCAAGCCAGCCAGGTGTGGGTCCAGAAGCCGTACCTGCTGACCCGCTTACCCCTTCTGCCAGATCCTTCTCCTACATGTTAAGAAGGGTGCCCGACCTGGTCTGACTGGTCCCAATCACCAGAAATCTTAAATAGAGTCCATCCCAAAACAATTAGGACAGAGAATGGTGGGAAAGAAAGGTGAAGAAAGAAAACTGCCACAGCCTGGTCCCTACTGTGGCCAACCTGAGGGACATGCAGAAACAACAGTAGGAGAGGGAGGAAGGTGTGGTGCCCTCGCCTGGACAGCTCACCTGGGTTGGGCAGCAAAGCTGTGGCTGAGCTGGGCGATGATTCGATCGACTTCTGCATACGGACGGGCTTCTAGGGCAAAGCTCCGGTGCCGCACGCTCTGGAGATGCTGCCGGGGGAGAGGGGCACTGGGTATTAGGCTGGAGAGTCAGCGGGAAAGGGTCAGGTGGCTGCTCCTCCACCCTCATCCCAGGTGGGCCAGGCACTCAGAAGAGTCTGCTTAGCTGGGGAGGGGCTCACCACGTGGAGCTCCTCAAAGGCCTCTTGGCAGCACTCACAGTACCCGTTCTTCCTCCTAGGCACAGTGTGGGCAGTCGACCTTGGGCTTGGCTCTGGGTCCTTGGGTTCTCTGTGGAAGGCACAGGGTTAAGGGGAGTGGGCACTTGTGGGGCTCTTAGAGGCTGGCAGGAAGTTGCTGGGTCAATACAATACCTGGGGCCTTGACAGGAAACCCCCAAGTGAAGGAGAGCAAGGACCAAGTTGGCAAAGGCAGGTACCTGTCTAGGTGAACTACCCTGTTCTATCTCCACCTACATATCTCAAACCAAGAGGGAGGGCAGGGAAGCAGCTGCAACAATCCTTTGTATGAATCCAAAGTCATATTCATCTGATCTTCAGGAAGAAAGGGAAAAGGTCTCAATGGCAAGGAGGGGATGGCGTCACTCCTCCCCCGCCCCAGGAATTGTTTCCCCTTGGTTCAGACTGTGACTCCCCCTCATGCTGACTCCTCCCTGGCACCGTTCGCCGAGGGCATTCATTCCATCTGATGGCCTGTAGCATAGTACTATAGTTGACTTCCTAGCAAATCCAACAGATCCAAAACCTTCCCTTTAGGAATTTTCTGAAAACCCAGAAAACAGGCAGAAAAGCTGTAAATTTAGCTACAAACAATAAAAAAAAACCCCACTGAATGGCAAAAAAGTCCATAAATGAAGTTAAAAGACAAACCACAGACCAGGCTGGGGGTGGAGTGGGGTAGGAGGGGAGTTTTACAATGAATAATACAAAAGATTAATTTCCCTAGTATAGGAAAGACTTTCTCAATCAAATCAAGAAAAAAGGCAATAACCCAAAAGAAAACTGGGCAAAGGATATGAAACAGACTCTCAGAAAAAGAAATTCAAGTCAATCAAACCAGACAGCATACTTAATCTCATCATAAGAAAAAAAAATTATATTGACATAATAGTTTTTAATGGCGTCCTGGTGTGGTGTTGTGGGTTAATGCGCTGAACTGCAAAGTCAGTTTAAACTGCAAGGTGGAAGGTTCAAGCTTACCAGTCGCTCCTTGGAAAACCTATACAGGGTCGATATGGGTTGGAACTGACTCGATGGCACTTACCAACAACATAGTTTTTAATCTATTAGCAGACAGAGGTCAGCAGTCTAAGTAAGGGGCTAGGAGAGCAGGCTCGTCCAGGAAGACCCGAGTGTAAACTGGTGTAGTTTCCATGAAGAGCATTTGGTTGCATGTATCATTTTGACTATCTCCACCTTTAGGAATTTATTCCACAAGTTAACTTGAACTTGTGGAATAAACTCCACACTATTACTCTGAATATAATTATTCATTGCAGCACTGTTTATAACAGCAAAAGATTGAAAATAATCTAAGCATCCGGCAATGAGAAAGTGGCTCAATAGAATACTGTAAATCTGTACAACAGATTTACCACACACTCATAAAAAAAGAACTCTGGTAGCGTAGTGGTTA